ATAATTACTTGTAACTTTCTGTGGACATGGCCGATTGTTTCCATTTTTGCACATGGATATTTTGACGTTATTATTATACAAGCTCGAAAACCGAAATTTTTCACTGATGAATCGCGACCTATACGTTTATGTGATGAAAGGAATGATAGTCATGTCTGGGACAGAGTTACAAGGCTTGAAAAGGGTCAAATTTATTATGAAGTGGGTTTAAGAGCAGACATTAACTCGCTGAACTACTTTAATCTCTTATTCTATTTTTTCTTAGGGCACCGTTAAACAGCTTCAAGATTTAACTGGTTGGAGAGGTCATTGTGTTTTGTATTAATAAGCAATCTTTCTTGGTACTAACTAGTTTTCCGAGCATTTCATTTAAATAGCATGAAATCAATACCTTGAACAATCAGGAATTTAAAATGAGCGCAAACTGGTTGCAGATGCTAAAGCAACGAATTGAAGAAAATCAAGATAATGAATCAGAGCCTGCGAAATTATGTTTGCAAAAATGGATGCAAGAACGTGATAAATTAAGGTAATCTCGCATGATGCCCATTACCAGTTTGGTTTTATTTAGCTTTTATTATATTTCGTATTTAAAACTGCATACGAATCCGTCTCATCATTTCATACATTACATTTTTTATAAAAAGGATGGGCCAATTTGATTTTTTTTTTTTTCTTATCAGCAATGTGTCTTTTATGACACATATGATGTCATTCCACCTTTATTTAAGAACTAACATTATCATTAGAATATTTCGAAATCCTAGGAATTTGGATAATCTGTAAAAAGTCATATTTTGAAAGATTTGCTGATTTGACGAGATAATCTCGGCTGCACTGTAAAACCAATTTGTCGGTAGCATCATGGGAAATATATGGCGCGATCTTCTCGTTATTGCAACAATTTGATGTTTTTTATTTCATTATTCAGTCAAATAAGAAATTTTTAATGATTCTGAGACCTTTTTTGACAAGGAAGTTTTGGGACAAGGAAGTTTGGGCCTTTTGAAGCAATGTAAATTCTAGAGGGAAGCTTCTTCCGTGGCGTTGGTGTCATTGTCCATCAATCAACAAGAATTAAAAATAACACCGAAATTAAAACCAACGAAAATAATGGTAAGAGCGTAGAGAATAAAGAGAGAATGCACGGAGAGCAAGTAAGAAAATTATATTCGATCGTGACTAGATCCTTTATATATCCATCACCGTTATCTTAAAAAAGATTAAAACAGTAAATGAATTACATTTTCATGCCTTATAATGTGCAGTGGGCGTAGATGATAAAAGTTTTTGTTGCGTAGCCGTGTCCTGTGAAAAATGTAGGTCACTTCCAATTTCAGTTTGTTAAATCCATTTTCGCTAAAGGGGGGACTGTTTATCGCATATGTTACACAGTTGCGCAGGCAGACAACTGGATAGACGAACAGACGGACATGTTTAGGTGCATTCCGAATTTTTATATTTTATTAGGATTTTCAAGCTTTGTTCTGTGCCTTATTAAGTTATTGAAAAAAAACAATTAAATTTTCATAAACTATAACATTGGGTAGCCGCGGTTGATTTTTTCCATTTTCCTACGGGATGCTACAGCGTTACCCATAGAATATATGGTACATTTTTTGTATACTTGTGTGCTACAGTTTATGATAGTTATAATCAAAAAACTAAATTTTTATTTCTCCAGAAGAACAGAGATGTTTTCACATTACGTAATATTGTGGGCGTGTCGTTCGATTGATTTTACCCATTTGCAAGATCGGCCTGCGGGCAAGAAGTTCCAGTACGTCTGCCAGGATTGATGTTGACAAGTTCTTTTTTACAGCCGAGAGAATGTTTACAAGAGAAACACTACACGGACGGACAGACGGACATTTTTACATCGGTTTAGAATTTGCTTTATGTACCCTCTAAAGCTTCCTTGTAGGCGTTGTAAACATTTTGACAAAATGAATATATCCCAATTTTTTATTCCGTTTGACAGATAGAATTGTTCTCAGTTTACGTGACACTGTGGGCGTGTCCTTGGATCGATTTGAGTCATTTTCAATACGAACCTGCATGTAAGAGCTTTCCAAGTTTCTGTCAAATTTGAAGTCGACAGCTTTATTTTTGCGGCCAGGAGAATGTTGACCACTAGACAGATGGAGAGACGGACATGTTTAAATCGATTCGACGCTTTGAAAAAATGAATATACTCCTCATTCCTGGGTGATGGGTATAAAAAGCGAGAAACAATCTGAGAAATTTCATTTCGGACAGTTTCATTCAGCGAAGAGAAGAAACGCTTCTGGAATAGTTAAGGAACAGCGAGAAATTGAGAAGTTGATGCATTCTCTCTAGGCATTTTTGCAGTAGAATTTATATGTCTTACTTACTTTATATTATGTAATTTTCTTAAATGTTATTGTTATTACTATTCTTTTCTTTTTTTTTTTTTTTTAATAATTTAATGAAGCAAAAAATACGATTTCTGCCAACGTTTCAAAGAGAACCATAAAAACCTATACAACACGCACTGCCGTTATAAAAACGCACAACCAAAATTCCTCTGAAATTATTAATAACAGTAATAGCAATAATAATATAATAATACCTACAATCTTTGTGAATAATGCGAACAATAGGAAAAGCGTTCATATCGATGATACGAACGATTTGAGTGACAATGGAATTATCGAAGAGTTTCATGATGCAGTGAAATCCGTTAATTGGAATACGAATGAAAGTAAAAATTATACTAATAATGTCAACTCAAATAACGATAAGAAGAAGAAGAGCTCTTCTAGTCATCACAACGAAAATGACTTGACAAACGATAACATAAGCATAACGTTTGAATGTAAATGCTGTTATAAGTCTCGTCATCGGCCAGTTGAAATGTTCCACACTCAACGGGATTTATTAACGCATATAACTGTCTATCATAATTCTGAGAATCCCTATAATTGTCCATTTTGTGAGATGGGTTTTCAAGATGCCGCCTCAAGGACAATGCATCTGAAAGATCAACATTGCCAGAAAATGTTTACCTGTGAAACGTGCGCCGATCGTTTTAATTTACGTAATCACATTGAAAAATATCATACAGAGATCGATTATGATTGCACGCTCTGTCAGAAGAGTTTTCTATCGCGTAAAAGTCTCAATTATCACATGAAATGGCATAAACCTGAATATCAATTAAAATGCACTTATTGTGAACGTTTGTTCATCAATCAGCGACATTTGAAATGTCACGAAGAGACTCACACGGGTTTAAGAAATCAGGAAGTCTGCTCATTCTGCGGTAAATGTAAAAATTGTAATAAGAAAAAAAAAAATGGCATACATATGTATATGCATACATATATATTCCTCTGAATTTCTCTTATTAGGGACTTCGTTTCGATTACATAAAAATGGAGTAAGAGCAAAAAATTCTAAGACCAAAACCTTAAAGTACTACGGGTATCGGCTGTATTGAAAACTCTGCTGCACTTGAGATTTGAGCCCGCGATCATTGAGTTGTTTTTAAAGGAGCAACCACCTCTTCTAAAGTTACGCACTTATAACATGTTTCCGTTTCTATTGAAACCAAGTTGGGACAAGCAATATAACCTCATAGTTTCAATTGTGGAAATCAAATAAGAAGATGACTTAAAGAACACTGCAATTCCTCTAGGAACTGCTGATGAAAAAAAAAGGAAATACAAAGTCGCAAAATATTGAGAATGTTGAGCTGCCATAGCAGCCCCCTTG